AGAAGCTGTGAAGCAGAATAAAGGCTATCATATTCCACTTGGTTGTGCCAGAAACCAAGAGGAGTGATTTGCTCACTTCTTTTCTTTTTTCTTTCTTTGTTTTTGGTCTTGTTTTTGTCTTCAAAAATTTAGTGTTCTTAAGGGAAAATAACCTCACAGAATTCCTGGCCATCTGAAGAAAGCGTTTAGAGACTGTCTCTTAGATACTACATGACCTCTCCTGTCAGCAAGCTTCCTCAGACCACAAGGGACTTGTTTCTGACTCAGGCAGTCATTCTGGACAGCAAGTAGGAGTTAAAATGTCATTTATAATCCAGAGAACTATTAGGAAAATACTGATGTACCAGACTGAGTTGGAGCTCAAGTGATAATGTTTACAGATGGATAACCTGGTAACTTGGGCTTGCATGAAGAAAAAGTCCACCCAGACCTCTTGAAGCCACTTGGGAAAGTCTGAGAGACTTGGCCTTTGTTATTATTTTAGTGGTGTTAGAAGTTACACAACAACAAGCTGTATTTCATTTTTGTTAGGATCATAGCTTCTACTTTGAATAATAACAATGAGACACATAGTTATCTTCTCTAAAGGTTTAGGCATCCGTAGCCCTAGATTGTGTGTTTTTCTTCTCTTGGATTTTGGAGAGAGAGAGAGAGGGGCCTCAAAACCTCTAACTACATTCAGAATAGAGAGAGACTGGGGCCTCAAAACCTCTAACTACATTCAGAAGGATTTTCCAATGCAAATTTCTTAAAATGCCTTTTAAATGTGTTCAGCCTTGTCTTGATGCACCTGATTTTGGGAAGGAAGGGGGTGTGGTATGGATGCAAATATTCTCTGAAATTCATGTGCTCATTCCACACGTGACGTGGACACGCTTCCTCCCCCGAAGGTTCCTTGCCCGTAGCCCCTCTATAGCATCCAAGCACCTCTCAGTACTACGTTTAGTGATGGGGCAGCCATCTGGCAAATGACTTTCTCTCCCTATCGTCCCACCAGAAAACAGAGTGTAATACAGATTTTGATGTTTGGGGAGGAAGATGGGGAGGAATAGCAGAGGAATTATTGCTTGCTTTTTAGTCTCTTTTGCCTGTTTCCACAGGGCTTTTCTTGGTCCAGGGGAGGTAAGTCTTCAGAGCCTGTTGTGAGCTCTGGATAAAGTTTGCACTGTCCCCACACACTGGTCCCCTAGAAGGTTCATTCTTTTCCATACATGCCCTTAGGCATAGGGTTGCACTGTGCAACAGGACTTGTTCTCCATGGGAATTCTGGAGAGTGAGGTGTGTATGCGCTAGCGTGTGTCAAAGACAGAGAGGTGTCTTCAGCTCACTTCTTTGCTGGACTTTTTTCTTCAGCTGTTTTTGCAGTCTGTTTCCCTTGCAACTCACTTCCAGGATTATTTTGATTAATCTTCTCATAACTTAATTATTAAACACATCATGGGTTTTCAGGACACGAGACTCTGTGTCAGTCAGGCTCATATTCCACCATTCCTTCATTCTTGCAGTGTTGAAGCCCCTTGCCCAAAGCTTGACAGCAGAGCATTCACATCTTGCAAACAGCATCGTCTTTCTTAAAATGGATGTGACTTTTGGTTGTGGTTAGTTTTCATCACGGTAAATGCTCATTTTTGCTGTAAGTATTCAGCAGGTGGAGGAGGAATCATTTAAGAGAGATGAAACAGAGTTAAAAGGTTACAGGTGGAGTTAGAAGGTAGGCTTGTCATTAGTAACAGTACAGGTGTTCTGGCATCAAAATGTGCTTGACCTGAACCTGACCTGTGAGTGTCATCTGGGAAGTCTGAGAAAGCTACTCAGGCAGAACTTGGTAAATATGTAAGGTTTATCATTCCTCCTTCAGTTTTCCAGTGAGGACACTGAAAGCAGACGGGAGCCATCTTCCATAACCTATTCATTTTCTTGAATTTCTGTATAGATTTTTGTCTCTTCAATCCATATATTTTCTAGGTAATGAATCTTGGGTCATCATTGTACAATATCCTAGTGAGACACAAAATGCTTGTAGGGCTAATTGTGGGTATTGTACAGCCACTTTGTAGAAGGTGAGTGCACTTCTGAAAAGATACGTAGCTGTATTTATGAGTAGGATAAAAATAATGGGAGTTTGGGTGTTTCTCAGTGTAGAACATAAAATAAAATGTTGAGGAATTAATGTTGAAGCATGAATTTGAAGAAGCTTAGCACTTAAAAGGTTGAACATCTCCAGGGTGCAGCATTTCTTTGAAAGAAAGATAAAGATGGATCTGTCTTTCTCTCCAGAGAACACTGCACGTGTGCTCCCAGGCAACTGTGTGATTAGAGGCTGTAATTCAGGAAAACCAGTGTGTGAGCTTTGTCCTGCAGCCCACCATAGGTGATAATATCTCACTGGAGAGACTTGCCAAGCTGAAGTAGCAGCCCATGTGTGATATTAACAGGCTGTAGTCCTGCCTTAAGTGTGTTCAACTCTTGCTTGGAAGTACCAGGCACAGAGTACAAAGGGTGTCCAAGACCTGCCAGGAGTTTTCCCCTGACACCAACTGATCCCCTCTGTCAAAAGTGACTGCTTCAAGCTTTTCCCTTGGGAAGCTTCTCTCTAGGATAGGCTCCTGGCACATAGGCCACCAGAGGTGGTCAAAAATCACAGGTGGCTTTATAGTTGGGTTTATCATTGCCTTTTAGTTTGGAGTCGTTAGGATTCACCTTTCTGGTCTTTTCATTTTCTAAATGAAAGTCGAAGTATCTCCAATAGTCTGTTGTTTCAGGACCCAGTATGCCATGTCATGCACAAGCCTCAGCATTAAACCATGAAAAATGGCAATGGTGGAAGTAAAAATTGTCATTACAACTAGCCGTGTGGCTAGTGTCAGTGTACTTCCTCACCTATCCCTGCTATAAGGTTGCAGTTTGCCAGCAGCACACCTCAGCTATTTCTACGTTTTTCTATCCTCCTTCTGCCAAAGGATTGTTTGTCTTGCATCCATTTTTGCTAATTAAGTAGCCTCTTCTGTGTAAAGACAGCTGCTGACTCAGCAGGATTAGTCTTATTTATGAAAGATGATTTATGATTTATATGTTCCAGACAAAGACAAGTGTGATGAGTCTTTTGGATGGAGAAGGAGGAAACTTCCTCTTTTTTTTTTTTTTTTTTTTTTTTTTTTTTTTTGAAAAAAAAAAAAAAAAAAAAAAAAAAAAAAAAAAAAAAAAAAGTTCTAGGAAAAATATTAAACCCCATCCATTTTATTTTTTTTTTTTTTTTTTTTTTTTTTTTTCTTTTTGGACCAAGAGTGTTTTGAGGAATTCTTAGAGTTGTAATGGGGCTCTGGAGTGGGTTTGATGGGTTATGTCTCCCTATCTTTTTTTTTTTCAGTCTGCAACAGTGCTTTTATGCAGTATTATCTCCGCTGCCTCAAAATCTGTTGTTAAAAAGACTTGTATCCTAAACTTCTAAGTCTAATGTGTACCTTAAATGCCTCCATTTGCACTATACAAATGCCTTTAAATGTCTATTAAGGTTTGAACGTAACAGAATGCCAGGTCTCACTTTGTGCTTCGCTGGGCTTGTGCACTTTGCATACAGCAAATCCATCAGAGTGTCAGTTCTGCACAGCCACTGCTGTTATCAAAAGCCTACAAATGCAATAGCTGTTACTCATTAAACTGAGCATTCAGATGCATTCTCTAAACTGTGAATCCTTTTTTTTTATGCCTTACCCAGGAAAAGATTCTAAATACGTCAGTTATTAACCCTGTAAATCTAGAGACCAAGAAAAAAAATAATAATCAAGGTTATGAACTTGCATTTTGTGTTCAAGTTCTTGCATGCGGTGTGGGTAAGGCAATATTGTGCGTGTGCAATACTTGTAAAGTGAAAAATAGCCCAAGGATTTTTACTTTACGAACTTGGCACAATCTATAATTCTCTGAATGACCCCAGTGAAATATGCACAATACACATGTGCTGGAAATTTGGTTTTCTCCAGTAGAGGAATGAACGCAAGGCGGCTTCTAACGTGTTAACTGATGGGTTTCCAGGTTGCACAAAGTATGTATCTTTCGAATTGTTTTGGGTGTGTTTCACACAGTTCTGAGTTCATTTCCTGGTTTTGTAATCCTCTTAGTTTGCAAATGACCTTCATTAGCAATTACTCCTCTACTTTGAAGATTTTTAATGAAAATACAATAATAATGAAAATACTTGTTTTCAGCTTCCCAAAGGCAAATGTCCATTATACAAATACTGTTACACTGCATAAAAATTTTGCTATGGTAACTTTCTCATTCTTGAACAGCCTCTGGAAATGAGAAATGAAAAATTTTCTCACTTGCAATGTAATTAGTGGGTACTTACACTCTATGTGAATTGTGATTAAGTGCAGTTTTCATCATGCGTGTTTTTAAATAGATAAAAGAGTTCTGCTAACCCTTAAAATATGAAAGCAGCTGTAAAGTGCTCTAAAGAGGCAATATAAAATATTGTGCATGTTGTTTAATGAATAAAGAAACTTACAGCTCTTAAAATATTTAATTATTTGGGGGATCAGTGGTCCATAGAAGAAAATTGCATATAATTAAGTCACTTTCAGATTGATGATTTTTATTAAGATCTGCAATTATAATCTGACTCTGAGTATTTGCCTCCTCTCCAAAAAAAAAAAAAGTATTGAAAAATTCTGTGAGTGTACCAAATTTACAGTAAGGGTTTAACTGTAACGCACCAACACTTAATTATTTTTAAATGAAAATTGTGAAGGGATTTGGTTGTCTATATTGACTTTTGGCAGAAATTACTCAAGTGTCCAGTTCTTAAAAAGCAGCTTGAAAGTATAACTCCCACAGCATTCTCATGGGGTGATCCCCCTCTGCCTCAGTGGTGACGGGGTGGTGGGTGCTGCTGTGCCGCACCAGGGTGCGGAGATGTCGCTCCACATCTCCCCTTCACAAATTCTCCTGTTTTAGCAAGAAATGCATTTTATGTTTTTTCCTCCCTCATTTCTGAACAGTGATTCCCTGGAGGCTACCCATCCTGCTGGTTTTACAGCCACCTCAGCGAGGAGCATGCCCGCCTGCCAAGAAAAAGCCGAGGTGAGACCCGCTCCCACCAGCACCACATCTGCTGCGGCCCTCAAGCCAACGGGACCCCCAGGTGCTACCAAGTACTCCGGCTGGCAGCCCCCAAACCAAGCAGGTAACTCGCAGTGAGGCTTTTTCTTGGTTGCTTAAAGACCTTTGGATAGCTCAGAGAAAATATACTTCACCGTGGGTGTTAAAACAGCAGCCTTCAGATGGCTGTTTGTGTGGGTTGGGTACAGGCCAGTTTGTTTAGAAAAGAGGGAAAGGAAAACACAGTAAGTATCCTCACAGATGTAAATGGCTTCCCAGACGAGCAAAATCAGATGTCTCTGACCTGTATTAAAAGCATATATACCAATCAGATACATATACATGCTTCACAGTTTCAACTTGGCACTGTAAATTCAACAGAGGCTATTCTGCGCCTCGGGGTGAGAATATCAGCAGACATGTGTTTTGCAAGTGATCTTTTCTGAAGTACATATTAATGGGAAAAAAAAAATTATTCAAAAGAAACCTTCTAGAACGTTAGAGTGGTTATGTATTTGACATTTGTAGGATTTGTTTGAGCAAGGTACCCGGGTATTGCATAGGTTTGTGATACGGAGATTTGTTTTAAAAAATAAAAAAAAATACCTTCTAGAACATTAGAGTGGTTATGGATTTGACATTTGTAGGTTTTGTTTGAGCAAGGTACCCGAGTATTGCATAGGTTTGTGATACGGAGATTTGTTTAAAGGTGGGTTCTTGCAAGGAATATTTACACAGCTACTGCCTTTGAATGCAATTTAGTGATTCTTGCCCCTTGCAACTCACACTAAAATGTCTTTTGTCAGGAAAGCAGGCCATTTGCATTATGAATACTCCTATGTTATAACCATATCTGTATTACAATGTGCAATATGTGAACTGGGTACCTATGTTTTTGTAATTTCACATACTGAAAGTTGGGGTAATCTGTTGATGTAACTTGTTTCTTAAACTGAAGCAGTCTTTGGTGCTGACCTAACCGTGAGTAGTAATTTCAAAGGATCTTGGAAATCTGTATTACTACTTAAGCTTTAACTGCAGATTTTTCTTGTAAGGTGGATATTCTTGATTCACTTTCTTACAGGATCTAAGATGTTAAATAGTGGGTTTCGTTTGTTTGTTTGTTTGTTTGTGCCCCTTGCAACTCACACTAAAATGTCTTTTGTCAGGAAAGCAGGCCATTTGCATTATGAATACTCCTATGTTATAACCATATCTGTATTACAATGTGCAATATGTGAACTGGGTACCTATGTTTTTGTAATTTCACATACTGAAAGTTGGGGTAATCTGTTGATGTAACTTGTTTCTTAAACTGAAGCAGTCTTTGGTGCTGACCTAACCGTGAGTAGTAATTTCAAAGGATCTTGGAAATCTGTATTACTACTTAAGCTTTAACTGCAGATTTTTCTTGTAAGGTGGATATTCTTGATTCACTTTCTTACAGGATCTAAGATGTTAAATAGTGGGTTTCGTTTGTTTGTTTGTTTGTTTTTTCATTTTAGTTTTACTGTTAAGGGTTTTTCCCTCTTTAAAAGTATATCCAGTCCAGAAAAGCAACTACAGAGGCCCTGGCATAAAAATAAAGATAAAATATAAACCACACAGCATTAGCACCATATAATGGTTTTGGCACATTTGGCTAAATTACTGTTGTGCCTGGTAACAAATCTAGTTAGTTTTGGACATGCAGTTCTGCTAGCAAGCCTCAAGATGGCAATACACTGTCATTTCTCTATTTCCCTGTCAAATACAGAGTACGTTCCTAAGGACAAGGTAAAGACTTAAATTTAGCTCAGTTTAATTCTGGCATTGTTTTACTACTTTGAGTTAGCTTTCCTCATCAGAGGAAAAAACACTCAGCTCTTCTTAAAGTTGCATCTTTGGTAGCGTGTGTACTTAAGGCAAATGTTTGTGGGAATACGATAATCCTAAATTTTGTAAGCTACTGATTGTGCTCCATCTCTGACGTAACTCACTTTCTGTCTTACCAAGTGATAAATTTATTTCACTTGCACAGAAACCAGCTGTCAGCTTGGGGTTTGGGTAGTACACACCCATTTTCCATATGTTGGTAGGTGTTTCCCTGCTAAGTCCTAAGCATGCTTTACTATTAATACAAGCCTAATGTTTGAAATAGCCTTTTTTTTTTTTTTTTTAATGATGGACACATGAAGGACAAAAATTTAGAAGGATGAATTAAGTTACACTTGATTCTATACTTTTGTGAAAATCTGTGCCCATGCTTTTGGATAATGTGAAAAATTACCATTTTCACACAAGAGGTACCGAGTAGATAGGTGAGGGGGAAAGCCAGCCAGATAATTTTTCGTTATTATGTTCCAGAATAGCTTACAAAAAACTTGTGAAACGCACACTGATAGAGAAGCTGGTGGAAGGTAAGGGTTGTAAGGATGTCAGTTCCTGCTGCCTTACTGCTCAGGGCTGTGAGATGTACTGCTAAACTTCCAAAGAAGCGTTATCCCCTCCAAAAATACTGGGGGAGCCAGAAATAAAAACTGGAGGAGAAAGAGGCATTGAAAACCCAAAGTTCCCTAAAATGGGAAAGGGCCAGGAGGAAAAGGCAGCAGTGTGGCCGGCAGCTGCCCAGGAATTAACAAGGGCAAGAGAAGGTTCATTGCCCCAGCTGCTGGAGGAGCTTCATCTAGCGTTTGCATCTTGGGGGTGCATGGAGTCAGAAGCTGCCACAGGAAGCCAGTCTGCACTCATTCCCAGCTCTTAGAGCTGCTCACTGGAAATGAGAGGAAAAATGGACCATTTGGAAATGTCAAAATGCTCTTTGGATTTTGTTCATCTTCGGAATTATCTGACTTGGTCAGTCTGAAGGCATCTTCATCTTACAGCAGAGTGTGCAAATGAGTGAAGAAGTGGCACCTGCTAGCCCAATTTCTGAGTGAAAAGGAAGCGTTTCATGATTTGTTTGAAATTCCAACAGCTTCCAAGGTGCTAGAGGCTTGTCCAGAGGTTATCTGTCAGGTTTCACTGCTGGTCTGCCCCTTAAACCTGCCCTAAGCTCACCTTTGGTTTTGTGTGTCAAGTCGTTCAAGAAGTCGGTAATGCAAAACTAGCAAATGAAAGAGACCTAAGCATGGTTAAAACTGAGGTGGGATCATCATCTTTTTCTCAGGCCTGTATTGTACAAAAAAAAAATAAAAAAAATCCAAGGTTTTTCTCTGTCTGAGCTTGCTCAAAAAGGCTGAAACCAGCAGTCTGACAGGTAAAACTCTTTCGGCAGTTGAGATAACATTGATAAAATTTGATAAAATCAGTCAGATATTGAAGAAAAAGAAAGACTATATCCATTTCAGGGCATGTTTGGACTTCAGTCATTAATTCTGCTGTTTGTTTGCAGTCTGTAAGAGTAAAGTTTTCTTTAAAGTAAAATTGTCAGTGGTTCACAGGCCAAACAAAATTTTGCTTTGTAGGCCTGACAAAATTTTAAACAATCAAAAAGCCTTCCTTTTGAGTCTGATTCATTTCATAGTTGAAGTCTAGCTTAGGAAATGATTGGAAGGAAGACATAATTTTATGCAAATGTGTATATCAGTATGCTATTAATAGCAGAAACTTATTTGGAATACAGTTTGTCGCTCTAATAGCACTCATCCTTCTAATGAATACTCTGTGTAACACCAAGTTGTTTCCATAGCAAAGCTGACATGCCACAGGATTTTGTTTGTGTCTGGGGAAGGTGTGATCTGCTGTTTTGTGGCATGGCGTGAATATTACCAGTGAATTTATTTATTAAGATGTCTTACTACACAGATAAGTCATTTGGTCAGACAGCATCTTTTAGTTTATTAGCTGGAATCTTCTGTTATTGGATCTTCATGTCAGAGAATACTCATATTTTCAAAAGTAGCATGGTTTCTTTCCTTGCTTTCAGTTTTTTTGGGTTTTTTTTAGGGTTGGGCTTTTTTTGAGATTGTGCAGAGATTTTAAAAAGTGTCAGAGGATTTTTCTTAGAACTGAAGCATGGCCTCCATAGATCTCTGCTTCACGACTTGACAAGAGAAAGGTGTGGAGGAAACAGACGGTCTAAAACGAACGGCTGAGATAGCGAACCTGGAGATGCTTCAGGCTCTGGGTTTCTCTGTACAGAAATCAATCATGATCCAAGTGATCTCGCAGTGATAGCACCCTTGGAGCTGAACTATCCTGATCTGCTGTTAGAGGGCACTCATGGGGTACCCACAAACACTAGTACGCTAATCAACCACTGTGACCATAACAGAGGTTTTATCCCTCTCTGGAATAAAATCCTGGTATTACAGGATTCCTCAGTGGTTTGGTAGCGGAAATGAGGAATGGCTGTCTCACCCTTTCTTTTAAGGCATGGGTAAGAAGCTGGATAAGCAGGATAAAAACCTGACTTGTCAAACAAATGAATGAAAAAAGTCTGATCTTTGGCTCATTGGGTGCACAAAGAATTGAAGATGGGGGGTGACACACTGTACAGCTGTGGCGTCTGCCTGGACAGAGGTTTCCAAATAATGCATTTGCTCTCAGATTCTCTTGTCTATACTGGTGATTTTTTTTTTCAGTTGTTGAAATAAGTCAAATTACAGCTGTTTCTGTGTGTTAAGTGTACAGGCTGGAGTTTACAATAGTACTCACTTCATTTTTGTTGAGCTATGATGTCATGTTCACCCACCAGAGGCAGAAGCTTTTTACAAGATTATACTCAATTTAAAAAAAAAATATTTGCCCACAACATCCCAGCTACGTGGCAGTTATTTGATAGCTAACTATCACCCTAACTCTAAGGATCACCCTATCACTCAACTCTAAGGAAAATCCCAAAGCGTTTTCCAGTCTCGGTACCATGTGTGGGCACGGGAAGGGCTTTCACCCACCGCTGCCATGCAGTCACTTCTGGGGTGAAACGTAACAGCTGCTTGTCAGCACGCTGCAACACTCCGTGGCATCTTGAAAGGAAGTGAATAGCACCGTGGCAAATTGAAACTGCTGGGACAATTTAAGAAAGTATAATTACCCAATAAATGCAGTTACACAGACTGGAGTTTGGCCAGGAGACGAACTGTTCTTGCGGAAAGCGCAGCA